CCAGCCATAGAGATACACCCTGTACTGACCTCTGCATCCTCATATGTTCGATGAGCGAAAGCACCGCCGACGCTATCTTCCAGCTCAAAGAGCCGAGCTTCAATGGGCTCACAGTCCAGATTCAGGTGTGCTCGAACCAGGTACTTGAGCGTAACAAGGCCTGACGGACCGCCGCCGATTACTGCGACTTTCATTTTCGCATCACGTACTTGACAGTTGAAGCAATGAAGCAGCGATTTCTTTCGGATCCCTGCTTCTTATATAGTATAGTCAACCCTTGGGTTGTATTTTATTATTTTATTATTTATATATTTTCACGATTTTCACGATTTTCACACAAATCAAACTATCCCAGATGTTCGTCGCACAGTCGTAGAGTAGAGAAGCTTTACGAGGAGTTCTGATCTAGTCAGTTCACTGCGGTGGAGGTCGGTCCGTTTAGAGGAATCAAAGATGTGCTGCGAGACAAATGAACCTCCTCGGTCATAATCAAGGTATTTATGGGGAAGAATAGCCAATGGGCTAATCAAAACCTTTAATTTTTGCCCTTATCAATTGTTTCTCTGGCCCATTCATGGCTACAAAAAAACCAGTTAGATAGCCAGCGTGTTTCGCTGGTAGCGTCCCCGCATATCGTATTGTTACACGCCTATATGTGAACTCGAGCAACAGGGCCCACTTGCCCAATTAAGGCCTGTCCGTGCATCCTTGCAGAGCTTCACATTACAGCCGAAGAGATCAGTGCTGCACACACAGAATGGGCGGCATCGAATGGGCGGAGATGAGCCAAGCTCATGTGGTATCGACGTATAAGTAGTAATTCCTCGACAGGCGAACTATTTTCCGCCTGAATTACAATGAACAATCCCCTGTCATCACAAAGCTACGGCCATTTTCCTCGCCCCATGTATTTTGTTGATCAACTGTTATCAATATGAGCATTCGTCCACTCGTCGATAGAAGAGTCGGTTCTAAAAGCCTTTCAGGAGAACATTCAGACTCGCTACACACTGATAAGCTTTCGACACCACCCTGGACTCCTCCAACTTCGATCTCGGGAAGCCCCGTAGTGGACATTGAAGGTAAGCTCCTGTCTTTGCCTGACGAGCTCCGTCTTTCCAACCCAACAGTCAGAGACTAACAACGCTTCAAGGGGTAGCAACATTTCCAGGACTGCAGAATCTCGACTCAGCTCAAGGAAACTTCTCCATAAAACTTCCTAGTCTGGCGGAATTC